CATTACACCCATCCCTCACCCGCCCCTCCCATTACAGCCATCCTGCACCTGTCCCCAGCCCATCTCCAACCAGGCCGTGCCCTGCAGACTCCAGCCCAGTCTTTGCTCTCAAAGATTCAGCTCTTGCCACACACCCTCTTTTCCTAAAGCATCAGCTCTACTTCGACACCAAATTGTTCCCATCAGCCTGTAAGCATGCCATAGTATCTTCCTTCTTTTTTAAAAATATTTTTTATTGATTTCAGAGAGGAAAGGAGAGGGAGAAAGAGATAGAAACATCAATGATGAGAGAGAATCATTGATCAGCTGCCTCCTGCACGCCCCCTACTGGGGATCAAGCCTGTAACCCAGGCATGTGCCCTGACCAGGAATCGAATCCGGGATCCTTCAGTCCATAGGCTGAAGCTCTAGCCACTGAGCCAAACCGGCCAGGGCTATCTTCCTTCTTTAAGAGAAAAATAGTCTCCTGACACCACAAACCTTCCAGCTACTATCCCAGTTTTCTCCTCTGATGCTTCTCGCCTTTCAATGACACATGAGGTCAGATCACTGGCCCAGACGCATGGCGAGAAGAGTGCTGTTGTGAAATGACATCCTGGGGCGGAGGGGGAGGGCAGCATGGCTGGGGAACAGCAGAGGACCGCCAGGAGCTTCCGGCATTAGTGGTCATTGCTGGACAGTGAAGCCCATCCACAAGGCAGGGCTTTCCTCCAGCCGTGTTGAGCTGCTCATGTGCAGGCAGAGGGTAAGTGGGTGGCTGGTTTAGCCAGGGTTGGGGGTTGGCCAGTGACTAGAGCAGAAAGAGGCGAGGGCAGGTGAGGACTGTGCATTCACAGGCTGCCCAGAAGTGGCAGAGCTGGTGGAGAGGGGGTGCTGGGAGGGGAGTGGGAGCCCCCAGATGTTCAGGGAAGCTTTGGATTGTATGCTGTGATCGAGAGCAAATGGGTGAGAAAAAATCTATGCCGGTGTGGGAAAAGCCGCAACACGACCTGGGGTGAACCAAGGGCTCCAGGGTGTAAGAGCATCCTTGACCCTCCCACCCAAGATGCACACATATACAGATGTGCAAACACACATGTACACGCATGCACATGCATGTGCACACTCACACAAACACACACCTTCCCCAGTTTGACTCCAAATACTGTCCCATTTCTGCCTCTGCCCCCTTCCTCCTCAGGAGCCCCTCCACCTCTCCCCATCCCCCTCCACCTCTCCCCATCCCCACTCTGGCTCTACTTACTGGTGGAGGAACAGGCCCCGGTGCTGGCTTGGTCTCCGCAGCCTTGACCCTAAACAAGGGAGAAACCCCAGTGGGGGAGGGGCTCAGTTTAAGGCATGGCCCTTGCACCCACTTCTCTCAGCCCCCAGGACCCTCAGGTCCACCATCCCAGCATCACCCCCCTGGCCTTTTCATCTCAGAGGGGCGCCCCATTTTCTCACACACCCCCTGTGGGGCATGGCCCATAAAGTGCAGGCCCACAGAACAAACAATGTTAGTGTTAGAGCCATTGTACAGATGGGGACATTGAGACCCAGAGAGCCATGACCTGCCCCAGGCCCTCCACCAGGTCAGGAGCAGCCAGGACTAGAATTCACCTCACCTGGAACGCAGCAGAAGAGCCATCTTGCTGGGTCAGGGAGTAGGTGGGGTGGCATCAGGGGATGGCTTACCCTTCTCTGGGTGTGTTAGGTCCTGGCGTGGATGGCGGGAAGGAGTTGCCAGTCTTCTCCGGAGTTGTGGGCATTCGGGGCATTGCTTCCTGAGAACCGTCTTTGTCTCCCCCTGGGCCAGGCTCTGGCAGGGTCCCCTGTGGCCTAATGTGTGGGGTGCCTGGCTCCTTGAGGGGCTTGTCGTCCAAGTACTGTCCACAACAGTCCAAGGTGCAAGAAGGCTCTGTTGTCTGCACTATATCTGACCCATTTTCTGCCTGGTGACCTGGGGTGGGCTGACGACAAGGACAGCAAAATGGGGAGCCCCATCCTGGCCGATTTTCGACAAAGGTGAAAATTCAGCAGAGAAGGGCAGTCCTCAGCAAACGGTGCTGGATGATTGCATAGCCATGTGCCAAAAACGAGCCTCGGTCCAACACTCGCACCGTTTACAAAAATCAACTCACCGTACCCTAACCATCTCTCACCAGGTCCCACAAGCTAAGACACAGTTTCTAGGATATCCTGGCGTAAAGAAACCTGTTGGAGCTTCGTTGAACCCAGCATGTCCCAATGTTAATTGTATGCAGAGTCCCGCTTACCTGCTTCCTGCCTCAGGCACCCACTGACATACCACAGGCCACCCTGGAAACAAGTCTTAAAGGCTTGCTATGGACAATCAAGGCCAATGGGATATACCAATGACCCACACAGACTGCGTGCTGGGCATCTCCGCGGCACAGAGAGGAGCAGACACAATACACCAGTGGGGCGTGGGGGGCCCCTTTGTGTCCCTGTGGGTCATTCATTCCCTGCCTTCCTGCCCAGTTCTCCACAAACATTACCTGGCACCTCTTGGGGGCCTGACCCTTCACTGTCCCGGGGTTCTGCTGTCTCCCCTGCAGGTCCTTGGTCTCCTGCCCTGAGCCCTGCTGCTGCAGCCCTTCAGGTGCTGGGGAGACCCTGGAAGGCAGCACCCCCAGCTCACTTCCTGGCTTGGCCTGATCCTGGTCTACTTGCAGCTCCTCGGGCCGTTCCTCGGGAGCCCAAGATGGCAGCTTCTTCCTGGGAGAACAGACAAAGGGACTTATCAGCTCCTGGACTGGGGCATAGTTTTACATCCTCACTGGAAGATTCGTGCACATTGAAAGTAAATTAATTAGAAGGTGGCCAGGGGGGCAGGACTGGGCGAGACAGGCCGGACACGCCCTGGAGCCAACCTCCCTTGGTCTCTCCTGGCAGGCCTGCACCTGGGGTGGCCCCAGGGTTCAAAGGGCATCCGCAGAGTGAGCAGGGTCCCTCTGGCAGGTGGGGTCCCTCGGCCTGGCCTGCGGGGATCAGGCGGAAACCGGCAGTCCAACATCCCCCGAGGGGTCCCAGAATGCAAGAGGGTGGTTCTCGGGTGACACACCTGGAACCAGAGGGGGTCCGATTCCGGGGTGCGTCACCCAAGAACCACAACTGCCAAGTCACCGCAGCTTGGCAGCTCCTGCGTTGAGCGTCTGCCCCCTGGTGGTCAGTGCATGTCATAGCTACCAGTCAGCTGGTCGAATGGTCAGCTGGTCGAATGGTTGCTTAGGCTTTTATATATATAGCTACTTCTTTGTGGTTCCCAGAGCACTGGTGCAGGACCAGGCACAGCAGGGGTGCATACTTAATGCCTGGGAGAATGGATGAAGGACTGACATGAATTCCCCAAATCATAGACACTTTGATGTCAATGTTTAAGGGAGTTAGGACAGTGATGGTGAACCTATGACACGCGTGTCAAAGGTGACACGCAAACTCATTTTTTTGGTTGATTTTTCTTTGTTAAATGGCATTTAAATATATAAAATAAATATCAAAAATATAAGTCTTCATTTTATTATGGTTGCAAATATCAAAAAATTTCTATATGTGACACGGCACCAGAGTTAAGTTAGGGTTTTTCAAAATGCTGACACGCCGAGCTCAAAAGGTTCGCCATCACTGAGTTAGGACTTACTAGTCTTTTTTTTTTTTTTTTT